AAGCAGTCAGATAGCCGAACTCTGTGCAGTATATAAGACCATTCAAATGGCAATAGAATATAGTATCAAAGAATTTGTTATTATAACTGATTCCAACTATGTTCGCAACAGTTTCGTCGAATATCTGCCTAGCTGGAAACGTAACCAAATGCTGAAAAGCAATAACAAACCTGTTAAACATGGGAAATTGTTTTGTAAAATCGATGAACTGGTTAAGGAAAATGGTTTATCCATATATTGGAAGAAAACCAAAGGCCATTCTAAAATAGAAGGTATTGACAAGGATGGTAATGACTTAGCCGATTCACTGGCAAAACAAGCTGCCATCAATGGTGAAACCCTAAACATTGATGATCTTATGGGTTCAATTCATGTTGAAGCCATAACTAGACGACAGGCTAGAGATAATGCCGACTTAAATGTCGTGCAATGGAGTCAAGAAGCTCCTAGTGATGACCTGATTACTAGTCAAAAGAATGATCCCGTCATAGGCATATTCTATAGACATATAGAAGACCCTACTGCCAATCCCATCACAGATGAGGATTGCAAAGATAATGAAGATTTACGAATCTTGATGAGATATAAAGTCCAATTTAGTATCATGGATGGGTTACTGGTCAGAACTTCTAAACATGGTATACAACAATGGGTAGTCCCAACTGTATACAGAGGGTTAATGCTCCAACACGCACATGATGCACCTACATCTGGGCATCGTGGTGATAAGATCACATATGAGATATTGCGTGATTATGCATATTGGCCACACATGTTAAGGGATGTTAAGACATACTGTCAGGGATGCTTGATTTGTCCGCAATATCAACCCCATGGTCCAACCCATCGTGCACCACTTCAGAAGAGGGGGGTGTCATTACCCTGGTCTGATATTCAAATTGACTTTATAGGTCCTGTAACAAGATCTTCAAGAGGTAACAAATACATGTTAACCGTTACATGTATGTACACAAAGTGGATAGAATGTTTGCCTTGTAAAGAGAACACGAGTACCGTGTGCGCCACTTTGTTGATTAACCATGTCTTTTCCAGGTTCGGTCTGCCTCAAAGAATTGAGTCAGACAGAGGTAGTCATTTTACCAGCGAAGTAATGGCTAAGATGTGGAACATTCTAGGTGTTAAACGAAAGCTACATATTGCATACCGCGCTGCGTCTAGCGGGGGGGTAGAGCGATATAACCAGTCTATCGTTAATATTCTGAAGAAATATGTTAAGGAGTCTGGTAAAGACTGGGACATTAAATTGCCCCTAGTTTTAATGGCGATTAGAGCTACACCTAGCACTGCTACCAAATTGTCACCTTTTGAATTGATGACAGGAAGAAAGATGGTTTTACCACAGCATTTACTATATCGTACTTCGGATCATAACTTGATCAATGCTGCCACTACGCATCAGTATATCGAAGATTTGCGCAAGCATTTACAGCATGCGTTTGCTTTTGCCCAAAAGAATCTAGAAAAAGCAGCGACAGGGGTTAAGACCTATTACGATTTAAAAACCACGAAAAAGGAATATGAGATAACAGATCAAGTCTATCTGTATAACTTTGCGCGAAATCAAGTCAAGGAAAAGAAATTTTTACCTTCTTGGAAAGGGCCATATGTCATTATTGACAAAATTTCCCCAGTAGCGTATAAGATAAAAATTCCTAAGGATGGTGATTTTATTGAAAAGTGGGTTCACATTAACCAGTTGCGTGCTTGTCATCCTAAATCTCAATTAAGGATTATAGGTGTGGATTCAGACGCAGAAGGGTGAACGACTAACCTGGATGAATGCTTGATTCACGTGGTATAGTATGATGTGAAATGTTGTGATGTGCCATGATCTCATGTACGTTCATGTCATTAACCATTTCCTTGCCATCCAATAACTACATTTTATAAGCAGGTTACTAGCTTGTTTAAATGCTATAGGCAAATTGCTGAAGAGTCAGTAATAAATGTAGTGAGGGATGAAGTTATAAAAATAGAATTAGACAGAATACATATGTTGATGAATCGTAATAATGTGTTGTCCTAGGCCAAGTGATGTCACACTGTTATAAGTTTGTATGCTTAACAAACCTTGAATCATTAGTAGATAAGTCTGAAACGAGTTCCTGATCCGTGACTGTCGAAAGATGTCCAAGAAGGATGTGGCGTGTTTCTGGATCGTACTGCTCCTGTGCCAAGAGCTACGGACCGACCCGATCGCAGAGATGGGACCATCCTCCGGCATCCTGATTCAAGAGACACCAGGGTTCATCTTAACAGAGAAGAGGATCCTGACCCGACGTGTGTTCGTCAGCTTGGACCCCAAGATTTCCATCGAGAAGGCATACAACATTTCATCGATGCAGCTTCCTGAGTTACAGACTTGGTACCAGATGCACCTCCAAAGAGCACAGGACCGTGTGCGAAACATCTTGGAGCAAGCCCGGAAACCATTTGTATCCAGTTCTATTCCGATGAGCAACCGACCCAAAAGGTTCCTCACCGCTATAATTGTTGCATTAGTTTGTGCCACTGTCGGTGCAGTTGTCGCAACTGGAATGTCTGCAGCCAACTCTATTACTGTCCAAAAGCTGGATATGGAAATCTATGCGCTAAAGCAACACATTAACGATATTCATCAGGTGATACAACAGCAAAGAACACTTCTCCAAGACGTGTTAACTATTGTGGAAGACACAGTTGTTACAACAAATTTGCATTCAGAGTTAATTGCCAAATCCACTGAGTTGCACCAAAGTCATGACTTATTTAAGCGTGAACTTTTATTTCTGCATGACCCAATACTGTTCCACACACTTGCTTTTCTTGACGAAGTGCAAACTGGAATGATCGAATTGGCAGGGGGACGCATACCTCTGTATTTTGTATCCAAGGATATTGTTCATGCGATGCTTGCCAATGTGGATGGAGAGACAATTGAGCCTATGCAATTAAATCTGGCCTTTGAGATGGGGAGCGCTATACCTCTCTTAATTGATCCGGAACGTATGGAGATTTGCTTTTTATTGACCATACCATATGTAACTCCCAAAGACATTTGTCAAATGAAAATAATGTACTATGTTAGAAATGATGTGATTGCACAATATGTCTGATAACTTCTATAGTGCTTATTCATAAGCTAAATTAATTTTGGCTATGAAATGCACTAAAGGGGGGTTATGTCAGAGTATTTATATCGGCAGACATTTTGTGCTATGATAGAAACTAAAAGTGTATATTCTGAGTCACTCTGAACAGACCAGACTCCATTTTGTTATTTCAAGTTAACAAAAAGACACTATATTTCTATCTGTAAGCTAACCACTTTCCCAGATCTGAGGAATGCATAGTATATACAAACAAGTGATAAGGAAGGGGGTTGGATAGACTGTCTAAAATGCTAATGGAATATAATCAAATCTAAACCCAGACAATTGTGACAGAGAAGATTAAATAATTTAATATTTAACTGTCTATATATATAAGGTACCATTGTATGGAAAAGGGTAAACTTAGTTCATGATCTGTCATATCAGAAATTATGGCAGGAATTGCAGACGCTAAGTCTGGACAAAATTTAAGAAACCCTTTGAAATTTTAAATTATGGCGCTATAAAGATAACGCAAAATGACGTCAAAATAGCCACCAGGAAAAGTTAACTCTTTCCTGGATAGGTATGTTTAGTGGGACAAGACTGCCCTCTACAGACCAAATAACTAATTTGCGATCTGGAAGATAACCACACCTCTAGTGCTTCTATTGGGTTATCAACTGATGACGTACAGAGAGTCTGGCCCTTTAAAAGTTAAGACAAAGGGAAGAGAGACACAAGACGAAGGAGGCAGATGCAAGATATGCAAAGGAGAGAAAAGAGAGGAATTGGAAGTTTGGGGATTCCAACTCGGACAACATCTGAGACTAACACTCTACTCCTAAAACTCTAACACTTAGAATTTACTGACTTTCTAACCAACACCTCCATGCAGAGAGACTACCAATCGGATGAAATATCTACTCAACTGGTAATTATACTGGTTTCATTTAATTAAATTAAATTAATTAAAATGTATTAATAGCATTATATATGACTGGATAAAGCACGGTCAGATTTCCATATTAAGAAATCTTAGTAACTAAGAATATATAGTTATAAATATTCCATTCTGCAGGTGGAATTAAGAATAATTATATATTGATGTGATATTATCACGTGTTAGCATACCGCTGTTTTATCCAGGTGTATTGATTTGCTCTAAATTAAGATAGATATCTTTTAGACAAATTAAAAATCTGCTTATATAATGTGGTAAATTCTCTTATGGATGGTTTAAGAAAATGACTAGTGAACTGGTTTAAATGTTATTTTATTTAAAAATACATAAGAATAGATCTTAACTACCTAGGAGATCTAGCCAGCATTGAAAGGGTTATTCTAACTGTCTGCTAAACTTTACGACCTTACGCCGCACTCTGAGGAATTCTGTTCTTCGCTGTGAAAAGTTTTACTTTCAGTCTGTGTTAAAGATGGTAATAAATAAGTCTTGACAGATAATGCTGTTTTAGCCATTGAAACGTAATACCCATTCCTTTGTATTGCATACCATTTTATACTGATTATTCATTGATTATTGTTATGCATGTTACATAATATTATTTGTTAATTATTGATTATCATAAATAAAATCTATTTTTATACATTGTGATTATTTACATGAAATACATTCCACTTAACACGATAAACGTTCTTTGGGATCTGAGAATTGAAATAGTGGGCAATTCTCACTGTTACTATTATTATCCCATAAATATCCCCACAATCATCTTCCCAATTACCTATATTTTTTAAATTTATTTATTTATTTTATTTAATATTTTTGCAGTGCAAGAGTGTACAACATGCTTGAGGTGCCCCAACAGCAGTCTACAAGCTAATCGACATATATACATAACATTTGGGCACATGAGAAAGCATGCACAATTTTATTATTAAGAGCTCGTCAGGCCTTCATGTCCTAGCTGTAGGTATGCATGCGTAGAGGTACAGTGATAGGCTAGCTAGACATGGAAAACAACAGGAGGAAAATATCAAGAGATCAGGTTATTTAATCTAGGGCAGTATGCTATATGATTTAGGATTAGAATCTCAGAAGATAACTGTATACTGCCACCATATGTGACCCACTGAGTTGCTTCAGAGTGATAAACCACTGGCATTCCCTAATACTGGGGAGTATGAGACTTAAGCTTAAAATGAAACTCCAGTATAGCATAGACATAGACAGCCGTTCATGGTTAGGGCACAGGAACACCTATATTACTTACTTATATATATACATTACGTCTATTACGTCTGTTATGTCGCATTGGTCGGGCAGTAAGCAAAGCAGCGCCCATCGGCCCCACTCCCCTTCTAGGTAGGCCTCCGTCTTCAAGCCTCTGAGTCTCTCACCGGGACCCGGAATCACCCATATTCAGGCTCTCCGGCTGCACCGGGACAGTCAAAGAGCTGGTGCTCCGTGGTTCCAGCTTCTTACCCGCCAGAAAAAGTGAGTATATATTGCAAAATAGCACGATTCTGCAGGAGCCATAGTGACTTTCAGCCTGCTGGCATGGCTGCCCGGCCCCGCCCCTCCCAATTACCTATATTTAATGGTACTCGCTTCTTCCTATGGTTTAGATCATAGACCTTATCTCCCAAGGTCTCTCCTGTTTGGATTGGTAACAAGAAGAAGGATGGTTTGAGCATACCTAGCACACATGCCCCCGCCCAATCTTGTGGTAATTCTGAATACGCCTTCTTACGACAAATCCAGTATAAATTTTCTGGGGCTCTCCTGTTAGATGTAGCCGATAGATCAAACCATACCTCTGAAATTGGTGTAATTAACAAAAGGGTTGGTAGGCTCTGAGACATTTGAAGCTGACCACTAGGTAGTATTATGACAACTATAATTATATGCTTTCTGCCTACAGCTAAGCATACATGACCGATTATAGATGTTTTTAATTGCCATTACGATTTTTCCCGTATAGTTGCTTGATTACTGGAATGGGAAGGCATCTGTTGCTCATTTGTCTCAGAACCAGGCTACCATACTTCTCTCGCTTCCCATGGCCATTGGTCTCCCATATTTGTTCCTCCACATACAAAGCAGTTAGTTATAGTAAGACTACTTGTCTTACTCTCAGCTAGATCAATGAACAGGTTTTTAACAGTGTGGGAAACTTCATCTTCAACACTCATCTCCTCATAAAAGTAATGGAATACCTGATGAGTCTGGGCATTCAGGGTCTCGGTTATAATGCCTATATATAGGTGGCTCCTGGGTCTGTCCCTGTACCATATATTTGGAAACCGAAAAGATTCCCAAACTTATTAATAAATTGCTGTGTGTGTACAGGATTACACTCCATTGATTTACAATGAGGAGTAGTAGGTAACCTCTGAACTATCAGGTCTTAGTCTAGTGTTTTTCCCCAGGTCACCCAACCTACACATGACCAGTATGGGCAAAAGTTGCAGTCCCTATTTGGACAATCAGGGTCAATAGTTCTTCTACTAGGGCATAGGTATTTATCATTAAACCCAAAGGTTTATTCCTACTTAAGGTTACCACATATGATCCAATGTTTTCCACTACCAGAAATTGCTTTGCATGCATCAAATAGTAGGATGCCTAGGGAAGAGGTGGTACTTAACAAAGTTTTATTTATCAATGCCACCTGAGAGTAGGTATTTCGAAGAACCAGCCAGATTGTACAGGGTTGGAATTGGGTATCAAAGCACTTGGGTTCTCCTGAAACTGGCTGACACACACTATAATCAGTGTCTAAGTACCTACATCTAGACACAGATCCTTTACATTCATAATGCGAGTGCCAAATAAAAGTTTGGGATATCTGGTTACCTGTTTTTGTAGTCTTAATACAACTATCACAGCCTTGTATGTCATCACCTTTGCATTCCGTATATATAGTAAAAACACTAAAACACACAAAGAAATACATTATGATGGAAGTCTTCATCCATATTTTCAACCGTGCAACGCCACCTCAGTTTCCTGCTTGTGAGGGCTGCAGGGAATGTTGTCCATCTGATCCTCTCTTCTCTTCACAGAGGTTTCTTCAAGACGCTCTGGCTATGGGACATTGGTAGGTGGTCAGGCTTTATTATGGCCGTCAAAACACCTACTTGCTGCTCTCTGATATCTTTCTCAACCACGTTCTTTGAAAATCGTCTCGTACTTCCTTATGTCACTTTAATCAAGCTTCAGAGACTGGGTAGTTCACTTCAACCAGATCGTACAAGGATTCTCCTGATCTGGGGTAGCTTGCCAAGAATCTGCCGCTGATTTAACCCTAGAGTGATGAATCCAGGGTGTCACGTCCGCCACCTTTACAGCTGTTGGGGTAGACAAAAGAACAGTATTAGGACCTTAGGGCCCAAGGGAACAGTATCCCATTCTTTTATCCATACTTGGTCACCCGGATGATGAAAATGAACAGGTAGATATATATGAATGAAAATCAACAGGTAGATATATCTGTCACGGGTGGAGGTACGGAAGCCGGGACCATTGAATGCCTGATGATGAGATGTGTCTTCAGGGTGGAAGTGGACTATCGGGACCTGGTGCAGGGCAACTACATGCCCTCTTGTGTTGAGCACCAGCATTTGTGCGGCCACATACCAGAACCCTGATGCAGCTACAGCGGATCCCAGGAACTTGAAGCTAGGAAGTAAGCAGAACTCCCAGGAGCTGAATAGGAAGGCTCTGCAGCAAGAATGTATCCAGTACAGAAACAAGGCAAGGCTAGTATAGTCACCAAACATGAAAACAAGACAGAACTAGTAGAACCCAGAACCAGAGAAGGATAGGAAGCTAAACCCAGAACATGTACACAATACATAAGGGAACATTAACTAAACAGGGGCAGGACAGGACAGGACTGTACATGGACTGTACATGGGAATACAAACTAAAACAAGACAAGATTCGATAGGAAAAACAAGAGGAGAAATAACTAAGTACTATATATGAAAATTATGGGGATTTAGTTACATTATATGATCATACATTGCATAAGCCTGCCACAACGCCAATGTACCCCATATCTGGCAGGTCCTGCTCTGCCTAATGTATGCTAAAAGAACAATGAGAAATACATATAGCACTTACCTGCAAGAAAGGACAGAAGGCTTGAGCAACTGCCTGCAGGCTTCAACTGAAACAAAAGGAATCATGGAAAAGGAACGGGTGTGGCAATATAAAACAAACATTTAAAGGAATCCAAGAGGCTGAGAATTCCAGGAACGGAATACAGGAATGAACCCAGAAAAACCCAGCATAAAGAAAACCAGACATGAAATAGAAAACCAGAAAAACCAAGAAAAACTAAACAAGAATTGTAAAAAGAATACTGGATACCAGAAGCCATTGCCAGAATGATCCGCAGCTAGGAACAGGATGTGACATAACTCCCCTCCTAAGGAGCGACCTCCAGACGCTCCCAACAGCTCCCAGACAGAGACCAGGAATGGCGAACGGATCCTGCAACGAAGTCCTCTTAACTTCCACGGAGGCAAGGATCCCCCACCGAAGAGGCCTCCTGCGTAGGAACCACCAGCAATGAATGAAGATCACCGCCAGAACAGTGATCTTCCACTAAACCGGAATCAGAACTGGAACCAGGAACCAAGCATCACAAGATGACACCTGCAGAGACCACCGAACTGCTTAGCAGATCGACCTCCTCCAAGAAAGGAATCAGACAGACTGAACAGGAATGAGGAAGTCATTTCCAGCAGACTGGTCCAGATACAGGAACTCTATTATGCTGCATAATCCAGACAGGACAGGATACAGACAGGGCAGATCAGGAAAGCTGCAAAGTCCACTCCACGAACTCCAAGGACCTACGGCCATACTGTCAGGGTGGCGGTCCGGTGCCCGGGACCCAGACACTGTCCGGGTGGCGGTGCGTGGACCGGGACCCAGTATGCCTGATGTTCAAAGTAGGAGTCACAGTGTGGAGGTGGATTAGCAGGGTCTGGTGCAGGGTAACCGCACGCCCCCTGGTGTTGAGCACCAGCGCTTGTGCAGCCATATACCAGAACCCTGATTCAGCTTATGCGGATCCCAGGAACTAGGAGCAGGAATTAAGCAGACCTCCCAAGAGCTGAATAGGGAGGCTCTGCAGCAAGAATGTATCCAGTACAGAAACAAGGCAAGAATAGGAAAGGCACCAAACATGAAAACAAGACAGAACTAATAGAACCCAGAACCAGAGAAGGATAGAAAGCTAAACCCAGAACATGTACACAATACATAAGGAAAACATTAACAGAACATGGGCAGGACAAGACAGGACTGTACATGGACTGGGAATACAAACTAAAACAAGACAAGATATGATAGGCAAAACAAGAGGAGAAATAACTAAGTACTATATATGAAAATCATGGGGATTTAGTTACATTATATGATCATCCAGTGCATAAGCCTGCCAACAACGCCAATGTACCCCATATCTGGCAGGTCCTTCTCTGCCTAATGTATGCTAAAAGAATGATGAGAAACACATATAGCACTTACCTGCAAGAAAGGACAGAAGGCTTGAACAACTGCCTGCAGGCTCCAACTGAAACAAAAGGAAACATGGAAAAGGAACGGGTGTGGCAACATAAAACAAACATTTAAAGGAACCCTGGAGACTGGGAATTCCTGGGACGGAATACAGGAATGAACCCAGAAAACCCCAGCATAAAGAAAACCAGACATGAAATAGAAAACCAGAAAAACCAAGAAAAACTAAACAAGAATTGTAAAAAGAGTACTGGATACCAGAAGCCATTGCCAGAATGATCCGCAGCAAGGAACAGGATGTGACAATATCTTGCAACCATTTCTGTACCTCCTCCATAGTTTTACCCAACTCCACAACCTGCTGCCCGTAATGCCATCGCCCAACTGACATAAATCCTCTCGTAGATGGCTAAGTATGGGTGGTGGACGCCCATACATGATTTCAAATGGAGACAGTCCCATCCTTCTGGTGGGATAACTACGAATACGCAACAATGCTACTGGCAAAGGACTGACACAGTTGCGCCTTCTTCCTAGATACCTTGTATCCTGCCTTCCATAGGATGTGGAGAAGTTCATGAGTTGCTTGTTGACACATCTCTTTGGTGATTACAGCTATTAAAAGATCATCCACGTACTGGAGTAGTACACATTTTCCTGGGATGGATTTGAAATCTTGTAAGAGTAGGTGAATTCTTAAACCCTTGTAGTAACTTGGTCCAGGTCATCTGGAGTTTTGATCCCGTAACAGCATCTTCCCATTGGAAAGCAAAGATACACTGGATTTCAGCTGCAACTCGGAGACAAAATAAGGCATATTTGAGATCCAGGACTATATAGTGGGTTGCACCACCAGGAATCAGGGCAAGCACATTATAGGGGTTGGGTACCACTGGGTGTATGTTGACCACTGCATCATTAACTGTTTTTAAATCTTGTACAGGATGATACTCAACAGATCTCAGTTTCTGAACAGGTAATAATGGAGTGTTCCAAGGGGAGGCACAGAATTTCAAGATGCCACACTTCACAAAACGTATCTGTGGCAAACCTAGCCACTTGGGACTGCCTAAGATAGAATGGTTGTGCCTATTTTCTGTTGTGTACTGCGCGCCGGTATAGTGTGGCGTCTCCGGCTATGTTTAATTTATGCTGTACTGTGTATGTCTGTTCGAATCCTCCCCATTCGTTAGCATTGCTATTAAAACTGACTAAGTTGTATATTTTGAAGTAGAAAGGTAACGGTTTATGTCCTCGTAGTTTTCATTACTGTATGTTACAGCAGGGGCTGTTGGGAGGAGGACCTGGAAACGGTAGTCTCCCTCCAGTCCCCTCAACCAAAACCCCTGCTGCCCATCTTTGGAAACCCCTGTTGAGTGACCTGCTTTAAATATCAGTTATTTTTAATAAAGTGACAGTTGAGTGACCTGCTTTAAATATCAGTCTTTTTGAATAAAGTGGCAGTTGACTCTCAGACTGTGTTTCGTCTGGTTCTTGGGAGGATTTAAGAATATTGCCCGCTTCCAGCTTTGTACTTGGTTATTGCATTCTACCAGCAGAGATCCTGGGATTATAAAATTGCAGCTCCGCAACAATTGGTGGCAAGCGGCGGGATCCAACCGTACAGCAGGAAAAACGCTGTTTATACAATTGGAATTGACATACTGGAAAGCAGAAGGCAATTGATACAGATGCAGAAGTGAATGGGGACGGACTACACCATATTGAAACGGCAAACGTTAAAGGAGCTGTTGGAAGCCAGGGGTAAGATAGCCAGCAATAAGCCTAAAGCAAGACTTATTGCCGAGCTAATGGAAGGAGACCGAGCTCGTAGTGCTACACCCCCAGCAAACATGGAGGAGACCCCATTTGAACGAGAAATGAGGACAAGATTGGCATTTTGGCCCGCTCCAGTATCTCCAGAAATTATGACCATAATTTCGGCGGATGCACAGGAGTACGTGATGGCGCAAATGAATCAAGCCTTCTCACCTCAAGCAGAAACCGCTGCTGTTTCAACTGTGGGCCAGGGAAGGCCAAAAATACCACATCATGCATTTAAAACTTTTTGCGAGGATAAAGACGAAATAGATGGATTCTTGCAAGATTTTGAAAGATTGTGTGACTTGCATGATGTAGAGCAAGCTATGTGGGTACCTTTGTTGGCAGGCAAACTGTCTGGGCGTGCAGCAGACGCCTACCGGGCTGTACCCAGAGAGGACAGCAAGAATTATGACAAGGTAAAGCAGGCGCTATTAGAAAGGTATGCCAGGTATTACCCCAGAGGCATACCGGCGCAAGTTCCGAGAATTGAAAAAAGGGGACAAAGACTCACATGCGGAGTGGGCACACAAGCTTGACCAAGCCTCACAAGGCTGGATACAAGCCAGCAGAGCTACCACCATGGAAGAGTTACGCCAGATGTTGCTACTGGAGCAGTTTTGTAATGGCCTGGCACCAGAGGCTCAAGAATGGGTGAATGACCGAAATCCTCACACCCTAACCGAAGCGGCACGATTGGCCGACCAACATTATGATGCTAGGAGGCATCATAAAAATAATAACCGAGGGTATGCAAAACCCAACCCGCAACCGTTTCCAGTTATTGCTCCTGCCCCAGCGACAGCACCATCCAGACCAGCACTTGTGGGACAACCTCCCCACTCCCGTTATAATGGCAGGTCCAACATCCAGTGCCATGCCTGTAAGCAATGGGGGCACATGGCCCGGGAGTGCACCCAAAACCGGAGCCGCAAGAACTGGAATCAGCTCCGGCAGAATATGGCCCCGCGGGCAGCTGCTCATTATTATCATGCAGAGCCAACTTTGCCAGGAGTGCCGCTTGAGTCGACTGATGAACCCCTGGGCGTTTTGCACGATGTAATGTCCATCCATGCTACTGACAACCGACAACCACATTGCCAGACCGTGACTCTGGAAGGGAAAGAGGTACAGGGGCTACGTGATTCCGGCGCTACCTTAACTTTGGTTGCCCCGCATTTGGTGTCAGGATCAGCACATACCGGGGGATCGGTAGCAGTCCGGGTAGCAGGGGGTGCCATGTACCGGCTACCAACTGCCAAGGTACATCTGAATTGGGGTGCGGGGGAAGGTATGGTGGAGGTGGGGCTGATGCACAAGTTACCAGCTGATGTTGTTTTGGGGAATGACCTGGGGCAAATGACTTCCGCTTTTGTGTCCCAAAGTCCTCGCCATGAGGCATATCCAGTGACCACCCGTCAGCAGGTTCGCACCACGGCTTCATCTTCCACACACTCTGAGGCTCAGGTAAGAGACAATGTACCCCGTGTAACCCGTGTTTCCTGGGATACCCCGACTGACTTTGAGGCAGAGGTTAAAAACGATCCCAAGTTGCAAATTTATAAGGATAAGGCGACAGCTGGTCAGACAGGTTTAGAGGGAGAACAGTATGTATGGGAAAAAAATCTGTTATATCGTGTTGCTGAGCGGGTGGTAGGGGGGTCTGTACATGTGACTAATAAGCAGCTTATAGTGCCCCAGAAATACCGGCAGGAACTGCTTAGAATTGCCCACGATATTCCGCTGTCTGGGCATTTAGGGATGACAAGAACGAGGTACAGATTGACACATGCATTTTTCTGGCCAGGTATATCTTGAGATGTGAGACAGTATTGTCAGACATGTGACATTTGTCAGAGACTGGGAAAAAGGGGTGACCGCCACAAAGCGAAATTGTGCCCCCTTCCCATTATTGAAGAACCCTTTAGCAGAGTAGCAGTGGATATAGTAGGACCACTGTCCAAGCCTAGCCCTTCCGGCAAGCGGTATATTCTGACCATTGTAGATTATGCCACCCGGTACCCGGAGGCTATAGCCCTTTCCAATATACAAGCAGAAACGGTAGCCAAAGCTATGATGAAGATATTTTCCAGGATGGGATTTCCCCAAGAGATAATTTCGGATAGGGGGACACAATTTACAGCCGAAGTGACCCACCAGCTATGGAAGTTATGTGGCATTAAGCCAATTGTAAATTCTGCCTATCACCCGGAGTCCAATGGGTTGTGTGAGTGCTTTAACGGTACCTTGAAGCAGATGCTCAGGACATTTGGGGAGTCCCATAAAGACTGGGAGAGGTTTTTACCCCATCTGCTTTTTGCGTACCGAGAAGTGCCACAGGAATCTACCGGCTTCTCTCCGTTTGAGTTATTGTTTGGGAGAAGGGTGAGGGGACCCCTAGACTTAATTAGAGAACATTGGGAGGGGGGGAGCAGTGCAGATGGAGTCCCCATTGTGCCATACGTGCTGGAGTTCCGGGACCGCTTGGAGGCTCTAACCCAAACCGTACGGGAGAACCTCCGGGCGGCTCAGCGGCGACAGCGCCGGTGGTACGATAGGGGACCCAGAGACCGTAGCTTTCAGGTGGGACAGAAAGTTCTAATTTTGAAACCTGTCCGCACAGACAAGCTACAGGCCATCTGGCAGGGCCCATACCAAGTGGTAGAACAGAGAAGTGACACCACTTATGTGATCGGCCCGTGCTCTGGGGTAGGGAAACGACGCATGCTCCATGTGAACATGCTCAAACCCTATCACCAGAGAATAGAGGAGGTAGCAGCCATCTGTGCCCCATCCACTGAGGATTATGAGAATCTGCCCTTGCCAGACATGTTAGAAAAGGAAGATTCTGCAGAAAACGCTACAGGTGTGCAGCTGGGGGAGCGGCTAAGTCTCCAGGAGCGTGCCCAGGTACAGGAGTTGATTGCGGCAAAAGGTGCTACCTTCTCCAATTTACCAGGGTACACTCTGTTAGCTACCCACGAGTAGAGACCCCAGGACAGCTCCCTATGAGACAGACTCCGTATCGTATCCCTGAAGCAGTAAGGGAGCACATGAGGAAAGAAATTGAGGAAATGTTGCAGTTAGGGGTTATCGAACATTCAGATAGCCCCTGGGCATCACCGGTAGTGCTAGTACCCAAGAAGGATGGCACCACGCGGTTTTGTGTAGGCTACCGGAGGCTCAATGACAAAACAGTGTCTGACGCCTACCCGATGCCCCGTATAGACGAGCTGCTAGATAGGATGGCAAGAGGCCAGTATCTCACTACCATTGATCTGTGTAAGGGATACTGGCAGATTCCACTAGCCGAGGAGGCCATCCCCAAGTCGGCGTTTGTCACCCCGTTTGGCCTGTATCAATTTCGGGTCATGCCTTTCGGGATGAAAAACGCTCCGGCTACCTTTCAGAGGATGGTAGATCGGCTACTGGACGGGTTCCAAGAGTACGCCTGTGCGTACTTAGATGATATAGCCATTTATAGCCAGACCTGGGCAGATCATTTGAAACATATCAGTGTGGTCATTGACCGTATTGGAGAGGCAGGGCTGACACTAAAACCTAGCAAGTGTCACATAGGGATGGCAGAGGTGCAGTACCTGGGTCACAGGGTAGATTGCGGACAGCAGAGGCCCGAACCGGCCAAGATAGAGGCAGTAGCTAAGTGGCCTACCCCCAGGACAAAGACACAAGTATTGGCGTTCCTTGGTACCGCTGGTTACTACAGAAAATTTGTGCCCAATTACAGCGCCCTGGCCAATCCCCTGACGGACTTGACCAAGAAAAACTTGCCACGACAGGTCAACTGGGCCCCAGGGTGTGAACAGGCATTCCATGAACTAAAAACTGCATTAACTAAGGCTCCTGTGTTAACTGCCTCTGATCCAACTAAACGATTTCTTGTTCACACAGACGCTTCCATGTTTGGATTGGGGGCAGTACTGAGCCAAGTGGGAGCTGATGGCGGAGAACATCCCGTAGCTTACTTAAGCAGAAAATTACTACCAAGGGAAGTAGGCTACGCCGCCATCGAGAAGGAATGCCTGGCCGTGGTGTGGGCCCTCAAAAAGTTACAACCTTATTTGTATGGACAACCATTCTCCTTGCTCACAGATCACAACCCGTTGGTGTGGCTACACAGGGTGTCAGGAGACAATGCCCGGCTGTTGCGCTGGAGTTTGGCGCTGCAGCCGTTTGATTTCACGATCCATTATCGCCCTGGAAAACAGAATGGTAACGCCGATGGGTTGTCCAGACAGACAGAACTTGAGAAATGATCTGTGAGCACTCCCCCGGACATCCCCAAGCCGATCCGTTGGGATCAGACTGTGTATGCCGGCTTGGTTTTGGGGGAGCATTGTGGCAAACCTAGCCACTTGGGACTGCCTAAGATAGAATGGTTGTGCCTATTTTCTGTTGTGTACTGCGCGCCGGTATAGTGTGGCGTCTCCGGCTATGTTTAATTTATGCTGTACTGTGTATGTCTGTTCGAATCCTCCCCATTCGTTAGCATTGCTATTAAAACTGACTAAGTTGTATATTTTGAAGTAGAAAGGTAACGGTTTATGTCCTCGTAGTTTTCATTACTGTATGTTACAGCAGGGGCTGTTGGGAGGAGGACCTGGAAACGGTAGTCTCCCTCCAGTCCCCTCAACCAAAACCCCTGCTGCCCATCTTTGGAAACCCCTGTTGAGTGACCTGCTTTAAATATCAGTTATTTTTAATAAAGTGACAGTTGAGTGACCTGCTTTAAATATCAGTCTTTTTGAATAAAGTGGCAGTTGACTCTCAGACTGTGTTTCGTCTGGTTCTTGGGAGGATTTGGGAATATTGCCTGCTTCCAGCTTTGTACTTGGTTATTGCATTCTACCAGCAGAGATCCTGGGATTATAAAATTGCAGCTCCGCAACAGTATCCAAGTATGTCTGTATGTTTTTATTGGCCTTCTGTGGTATATGGTATTGATGAAGGCTAACAGGATAAGCCACAACCTTTTATTTAATATGTATAGGTGGAATATTACGGGCGAGTCCTGGAGGATTATTTTCTGCCCATACTTCTGGACTATCAAATAATGATCCATCACTCTTTGTGTTTGGGGTTATCATTGCAGAATGCAGACGCCATTCTTCTTCTTTTGGCACCAGTACAGCTAACATGCCCGGTGATTTATTAAATTTCAGGGACGTTGATCCATTGGGTAGAAATGTTATCTATATTGAAGCTTTGACAATAGATCTCATCCTAGAAGTTGAAGTGGACACTTCGGTGTGATGGATAGAAATAAATGTATGTAAAATTATTATTTGTCATATGCACCTGTGCTCATGCCTTACTCAAAATGTCCGCTACAGCACCTCCTCCCATCGACCAAAACCCTCATGTAACAAGATGGCGTCTGTAATGGACTGTTTTGCACACAAGAGGTTAAAACCCATTTAGGCGATATACCCCTTTCCAGATGCACGGGCAGCTACTGCAATCACCAATCTCCCGAGCTGCAAACTACATGAATCCTCCAACTCCCGAACCGGAACCACACGAATACTGGAAACAGCCGAACAGGAAAAGAATACAATCAGCTTACACTCCTGGCAATCAGCATACAATCCAATTCCCCCCAAGAACAAGACGACACTTCGTTTTGAGGGTCAAGCAGAATCTCATTTACTGGGGCTACCTGCCCGGCTTTTATGCAGGTCTCCCACCTGGTGGACACACCCCTAGGGGACCAGATGGAAGACTGGGACACAAAGGGTAAAAGGACCAATCACAGACTTTCACATTTCAACAACCCCACAATGCATCACAATCCCTCCTCTCTGTCCTGGAGATAATTGGGAAGTAATCCAATTATCTCCAAGGACAAAGGCAAAACTCCATTACACACATTTTAAGTAAAAATATATAAAATTACATACGGTTACATCTATCACATAAAACATACACATTCTACATATCCCCGATAGCTTACATCTGAGTGCACATTATTACATACATACAGTTCAATCGCCATGGAGCCAAAGTCTTTCCCATAGTCTTTCGTTACACGAATGGGCTCTGTGGCGAAAGTAACATCGCCACTGGTTTTTGGTGGGGCCTGTTTGCCAGCCTCCTGCCCTGCGACTATGGCCCTGGGATGTATTGCCCTTCTAGGAACTGATGTGGGCATACTTGATTTTATTATGCTGCTGCTGGCCCTTTAAGAACCATCTGGGGACGTACTGTGGAGTTACTCGGTGGCCACCATTTCATGTATCAGAGGCACATGGTGAGAACAATGGATGGCGGCCATTTTAACTAACAGACACTGTTTGGACTTTTCTACACGTTACCATCTCGCCGATATTTGGTGCACAAAGACATCGTGCAGTGGTTTTAGGCTATAGAACAGAGGACACATTATACAGTAATTATTTTTCATATAGCCTGTATATGTTCTGCGGAATCTGCATTAAACTGTATCTTCCAAACTACTGAACGGATCTGGGTGAATTTTGGATATGTGTTTCACCCAGATCCCCCGGTTCAGAGGATATACTTTTTATGGGGTTATTGCATGTTTCGGGGTCCCTGTGATATGTTTTATAATACTGTATGTCTCTGCCTGTGAAAATTATATTAACCATTGTGTTCAGTAATCATATCACAGGCAGAGGGGAGGATTTTGTGTGGGAGTGTCTGTGTGTATTGTATGGATTGATTGGTTGTATTTCAAAACTCTGTGGGCAGTACTATGTTTGTGGATTGTGAATAAAAGAGGCTGTATGTGTCAGTACAGTCAGTTCTGCTTGACCTCAAAACGAAGTGTTGTCTCGTTATTGGGGGAATTGGATTGTATGCTGATTGCCAGGAGTGTAAGCTGATTGTATGCTTTTCCTGTTCAGCTGCTTACAGCATTCATATGCTTGAGAGCATTCATATGCTTCTCCTCGGCGGCAGTGCGAGTTACAGGGAGCCGAAGGTGTCGTCCTTCCTCCCCAGCGACAGAGTGAGTCCCAGGGAGCCGAAGGTGCCGTCCTTCCTCCCCAGTGGCAGTGTGAGTTACAGAGAGCCGAAGGTGTCGTCCTTCCTCCCCAGCGGCAGTGTGAGTTCCAGGGGGCCGAAACTGTTGTCCTTCCCCCTAGCAGCAGTGTGTCCTATAAGGAACAGAGACAGTCGGTCTCCCTCTCCAGCGGTACATGGACTGGGAATACAAACTAAAACAAGACTCAATTCGCCTTTTCAAACCCTTCGCTGCTAACATTGCTGTTATTTACCGTCCCCCTGGTTCCCCTCTTCTCTTCCTTGACCATTTTGCTGCCTGGCTACCCTATTTCCTCTATTCTAACATCCCATCCCTAATTCTTGGGGACTTCAATATTCCTATAAACCCACCTTTGACCTCTGCAGCCAATAAACTACTTTCAATTACTTCCTCCCTCGGGCTATCACAGTGGGCAAATTCTCCCTCCCATGTAGCTGGCAATACCCTTGACCTAATCTTCACTTATGCATGTACGGTATCTAATATCTGCAACACTCCTTATCCTCTCTCTGATCACCACCTCTTATCGTTTGCTCTCACATACCCCCTCACCCAACAACCTCCGCCTAACCAGCCTCAACTCAGGAGGGACCTTAATTCTCTTGATCTCCAACAGTTGTCAGCTGACATTGATTCACAACTGCTGTCCATCCCTTCCCTATCCTGTCCTTCACTGGCCATCTCCATATATAACTCTACTCTTACATCTGCCTTGAACACTGCAGCGCCACTCCAAACAAGCACCTCAAGGAGGACCCGCCCCCAACCATGGCATACTAAATCAACGCGCTACCTGCAAAGATGCTCCCGGTGTGCTGAACGCTCCTGGAGGAAGTCTCGCACCCAGTCAGACTTTCTCCATTATAGATTCATACTGTGTTCATACAGTGCAGCCCTTGCCCTTGCCAAACAGTCCTATTTTTCCTCTCTCATTAGTTCATGTTCCCGCAACCCCAGGCGTCTCTTTGACACCTTTAATTCTCTTCTTCGCCCCGCTGTGGCCACCCCCCAAACCAACCTTACTGCTGATAACTTTGCATGTTACTTCACTGACAAAATTGAACAGCTAAGGAAAGAATTCTCCCCTCCTTGCCTTTCTGTTTCTCAATCACACATTGATCATGCCTTTCCTACCCTTCAGACATTCTCCCCAGCCACTGACCAAGAGGTGGCTGCTCTTCTTTGCTCCTCTCGCCCCACCACTTGCCCGCTCGATCCTGTCCCGTCTCACCTTATCAGATCTCTCTCCGCTTGTCTCGTGCCTTCTCTAACACACATCTTCAACTGCTCGCTCTCTTCTGGCATCGTCCCTGCTGACCTTAAACATGCCACTGTAGTACCTATACTAAAAAAACCATCCCTTGACCCATCCACCCCCTCTAACTACCGTCCCATATCCCAGCTCCCTTTTTCCTCAAAGCTTCTGGAAAGACTCGTCTTTACCCGTGTGTCTCATTTCCTCAATTCCAACTCTCTCCTTGACCCCCTTCAATCTGGCTTCCGCCCTCTCCACTCTACAGAGACTGCCCTTATCAAAGTTACTAACGACCTAATCGCAGCTAAATCCAAAGGCCACTACTCCATACTAATTCTTCTTGACCTCTCGGCGGCCTTTGACACCGTTGATCATGCTTTCCTTCTTCAAACTCTGAAATCGCTTGGTCTCTGTGACTCTGTCCTCTCGTGGTTTTCCTCTTATCTCTCCCAACGCTCATTCAGTGTCTCTTTTTCTAATGATACCTCCTCCCCTCGCCCTGTCTCGGTTGGAGTCCCCCAAGG